CACAAAAATTTATATTTCTTAAAAATTTAAAAATGTATTAAACTAATGCAATTTCGTGCTTGCCAATTATTAGCATAACATTTCAATTTTCATAGCTGTATAAGGTATATTAATTATATAGATCTAGGGGCCTAAAGCTATGTATATAGATGATCTAACCTTAGGTATAATAATAATAGATTAACGTAATTATTTAGATAAGAATCTGTAGAAAAAGCATTCACCCGCTGGCTAATAATCCAGCACAGATTTGCACTCACACGTAGGCCTAGGACGCTTGGCCTATAGTAGATGATATAACTAAGTTAGATCTAATAGTAATAATTTAGATAAGATCATAAGAATCTGTATAAAAAAAAACACTTACCTGCTGGCAAATGATTCATCAGAGATGTAGTAGACCTAGTCCGCCTAGCCTGCTAGTAAAGTTGCGTTGTAAACACGCGTACTTGTAAGTTGTAACGTTATTATTAGGCCTATACATACGATTGTTAAAAACCAGTTCGTGGAGGTCATTAAATTCTAAGAACAGGTTTGTACGAACCGGAGCGAACCGGCTGAATCCCACCACTGATTATATAGTATTAGTCATCACTTAGTATTTGTCTTTACTTCTCACTAAATATTTGTTCAACTTGAATATGAACATATATACTTTCACTTTGAAAATATATTTATTATGAATGATGAAAGATGTAAGTACAAGAATTTTTTTCTACCCACTATGAAATACAGAAGTTGAAAACTTACAACAAAAGGAAATAGCCCAATACATCATTAAACCATGTATATCAGTGTAGGGAAAAGATTTAACACTTATTAATTTAAATAAAGTTATTACTTTTCAACTAACTACATTAGTAAAAAAGAACTGTTTGATGAATATTGCAGTTTTTAGGAAACTCATGCAAAGAAATACAAGATCTATGTGTGCTAGCCACCACTAATTTTGAAACAACTATTAGACTGCTCTTATAATGGCCCCAATGAAACACAAGTTATGAGTACTCATATTCACAGATTCATAGTGTGGTACACTAATCACAAGGCTAAGCCTAGGCCAACCTTAATTGGAAAAATATTATAAAAAATCTGGTCACATGCTTACAAACACAGTTAAAGTAAAATACATTGTTCTATTCAGAATTGAAAGGATGCCTTACAACACACCAAAATATAAAATTAATGAGGAAAAAAGGAACTGAAGCTATAGCGAGTTAAAATTTGAGTTATGGTTTTTCTGTTTATGTTCAGCTTTTATTAATATAATGTGGTTGATGAGAATAAAACTTATAGAGTACAATATAATGTACTATATATAAACTGCCTGAAAAAAGTTTCAACACACCCTTTAAGCATTTTACTCATCCAACCAACAGCAAAACACTAGAAAGGAATGTTGAAGTACATGTTTGATGCCAAGATACTAAGAATAACTTGAATTGAACAAGTAAGAGTTTACATATTGATGAAAGTATGAAACATTGATATATGAAATAGCTGTGATAATTGGTCATACTTGGTAGCACAATATTTAAGAACATTCATGCTGCCCGAAGTGCAAGAAATTATTTTTGTGAAAAATTTAAAAGCTTTAATACATTCAATATGGTTACACAAGACCATGTTCCATCAGTGAAGCTGTACATCTTGCATTTTAATTTATTCTTTAATTACTTTTCTCTGTGTAGGAAAAACTGAAGAGCAGGTTTAAACTACAAAACAAGAATAAATACTTCAACATTATAGTATGTATCATATCATTTTTTTAAATATTATTATGGTTAAGTGGAAATTTTACACACTTTTGTTTCACAAAACATATATATATATATATATAAGCAATATAAGAAATATAAAATTTCTGGAGATTGTGCAAAACTGTAAACTAACACATTGTTTTTTTATAATTAAAGAGCACAGTTCAAAGCTAGCTTCAGTTAACATCAATGAAGATGATTCAGACTAAATAATGAAAAGTTATTAAAATGAAAAATTGCTTAAAATGTAAGACATCATTTCCTTACTTCATGTGAAAATGTTTTGTTATGTATACATACATCACTTTCAAGCAATATTTATATCATTAAAAAGCTCTGGTCATTATATGTATTTTTTTGCTATTTACTGTTCATGCTATATTTAATTCAATATCATAGTATAAGGAACTGCTAACTTAAAAGCTGACAAAGTATTTACTAGTAATTCAAATTTTAAGAACATTATGAGAGAGTAGCTTCAAAGTTGAGAATTCGTATACTTATCTACAACTTATGAAAACACAGCACAAGATACTCACCATGTGCTTTTGGCTGGTTGTAATCCAAAAGATTGTTAATCTCTCCAATGATAAACTTGGGTGAATGCTCGTCATTTCCAATGGTAAATTTCAGGTGTAAACTGGAATAATCAGTGACAAAAGATTGTTACATACAATCTTAACACAAATCAATATAAAAAAATGTTAATCATGTTATGTGCAATGAGAAGTTCGCATGATCTTAACATTAAAAAAAAAAGAACTGACATACCTCATTAAAAGAAAACAAGTTCTTATTAACATGTGTAAAGAAAAATAAACCTATAACTATCAATCAGACACTCTCATTGATAACATGTTTTAATTAACTACTATTATTAATTCAGTATAAAATTTCACTTACAGAAAATTAGTCCTTATATAATACCTACTCTTGAATTCTCCTTGCTCGAGCTCCAATAGGTTTCTGTAAATAAATAGTCTTAATCAATATAACTTTTGCAATCCAAATCTAAGTATCAATAAATGAATTACCAGCACTGTCTACAGATTATGAAACTGCATACTTTACACTACAGCCTTGTTAGTTAACCATAATGCTACATTTCTGTAAAATAATATTAAAAGTCTAAAATAAAATCCTGACAGGCCAGATAATATGATTTATTTAAATACTGATATAAAAACCAGATAAAAAAAAAATCAAACCAAGGGTAAGATGTTTCAGCCTCAACTATACTGCTTTCACTGGTAGCATGATAAACTGATGGGCCAGTAATTTAGTTATTTAAAAATATATATTTATCTATATTTTAAATAAAGTTAAATTACTGTTACGTCTCCGTTTGTTAATTGATTTTTCTGTAACTTCGATCTGACGAAACTTTAACGACAAAAGTCTTTACTTAATGAAACTGGTTTATTCATTCCAAATATAACTCTACCGATACACTCAACTTCAACAATCGCGCTAAACAAACGCTATAACAACGAACGTGCTCAATAATACTTCTGACCGCAGATCAATTACTCACTATCTCCACA